GTCTCATTGAGCCATGAGAACTCATTTTCAAGAGAGACCTGTTTAGGGAGCAGATGATTGGCCTTGCTCGTGGGCCCAGAGTGGGGCGAATGAGGGTGGAGGGAGGTGTGGGTGTTCCACCTTTTCCACCCACATTTTGATGTTGACGGTACCAGGAGTTGAACCTGCGAATTTCCGATCACAGGCCCATCTTCTAACCTCTGCGCCACCACTCCTCCAGTTAGCCCAGAGTATCCTCCTCGCTTAGTTGTATTTCTTTGCCCTTCAGCAGATTTTAAAGTTTTGCAGAAGCTTGTTAATCACTCAGTTAATTCAAATCAGGTGTTTAAAAGCAGAAATGGTAAATGGACTGTACTTATATAGCGCATTTCTACTTATATAGCGCCTTTCTATCATACTCAAAGCGCTTTACACTACAACCTGTGTCCTTATTTACCCATTCATACAGCACTCTATTATATCTCTACAAAGCTAATTAAACAAATCATTCTAAAAAGACGAATCAATTCTTTATCACTTTCATACACCAATGGGACACACATCAGAGGCTGTGAGGGGTTCAGTGTCTTGCCCAGGGACACTTTGGCATGTTACTGCTGGTGGATTCGAACCCCCAACTCTTGCATTGGAGGACGACTACTCTAACCACTCAGCCACAGCCGCCCCAGAAACATGTTTTAGAAACATATAAAACATGCGGGAAAGTGTCCCTTGAGGACCAGGATTGGACAAACCTGAACAAATCGTTAAATATCATTCCTTATATTCGGTGAGATAATGATATACTATCCTGTATTTATCAGATAGGTACGAGGTACATACTGTACTTGGCACTTAAGTCGCTTTGCATGCGACTGGAGTTGGTTCTCGTCTTACTGGTTCTTCTCAGGTGTAGGTGAGTTGCCACTGTGACTTGTTTCCACACTCTGTGAGTGGGATCATGAATGCAAAGTAGGTGGTTTCTTGTAGAGCTGTCCAGCTCATGCTGAATTCTCTGATCAGCCAATAAAGCCTCCCCAGGGAGGCGCCCAGGAACCAGATGCCTGAACCACCTCAACTGACTCCTTTTGGTGTGGAGGAGCAGCAGTTCTATTCCCAAGTCTCTCCAGGATTACTGAATTTATCACCCTATCTCTAAGGGAGAGTTCAGCTACCCTGCGGAGGAAACTCATTTCAACTGCCTGTATTTGCGATCTCATACTTTCGCTAATTACTCAAAGCCGGTGACCATAGGTGAGGGTAGGAACGTAGACTGAATGGTAAACAAGAGAGCATTGCCTTACAGCTCAGCTCCCTCTTTACCACAACGGACCGGCACAGAGTTCGCAAGAAATCCCTCTGTCAATCTCACACTCCACTCTTCTCTCACTCGTGAACAAAACCCAGACATACATACTTGAACGCCTCCACTTGAGGCAGACCCTCACCCTCGACCCAAAGAGAGCAATCCATCCTTTTCCGAATTAGGACCATGGCCTCAGATTTGGAGGTGCTGATTCTCATCCCAGCCGCTTCCCACTCTGTTGTGAACTGCTCCAGTGAGAGCTGGAGATCACGGCATGATGATGCCAACATGACAACATCATCTGCAAAGAGCAGAGATAGAATCCTGATACTACATAACCGGAACCCCTCCACCCCCAGGCTACACTGAGAAATTCTGTCCATAAAAGTTATGAACAAAATCTGTGACAACAGGCAGCCCTGGGGGAGTCCAACTCCCACCCCGAAGGTGTCCAACTTACTACTGGCAATGCGAACCCAACTCTTGGACAGCTTATATTGGGACCGCACAACCTGTAAAAACGGCCCCCCAATCCCATTTTCATGAAGCAGCTCCCACAGTGTACCTTGAGGAACACGATCGAAAGCCCTCTCCTAGTCCACAAAACACATGTAAACTGGATGGGCAAACTCCCATGACCCCTCGAGGACACTAGAGAGGGTAAAAAGCTGATCCAGTGTTCCATGGCCAGGACAGAACCCACATTGTTTGGGGCGGCTGTGGCTGAGTGGTTAGAGTAGTCGTCCTCCAATGCGAGAGTTGGGGGTTCGAATCCACCAGCAGTCACGTGTCTAAGTGTCCCTGGGCAAGACACTGAACCCCTCACAGCCTCTGATGTGTGTCCCATCAGTGTATGAATGTGATCTAAAGCACTGATTAGTCTCTTTAGAATGATTTGTTCAATTAGCTTTGTATAGATCTAGTAGAGTGCTGTATGAATGGGTAAATGAGGGCACAGATTGTAGTGTAAAGCGCTTTGAATATCTTGAAATAAGATAGAAAGGCACTATATAAGTACAGTCCATTTACCATTGTTCTTCCTGGATCCAAGGTTCGACTAACATTCTGACTCACTTCTCCAATAATTGTGAATAGACCTTACCAGGGAGGCTAAGGACAGTTATGCCCCTAGAATTGGAGCACACACTCCGATCTTCCTTTTTGAAGAGGGGAGCCACCACCCCGTCTGCTAATCCAGAGTCACTGCCCCTGATATCCACATGATGTTGCAAAGGCGTATCAACCAAGAGTCAAGACAGCCAAAGAACATCCAGAGCCTTAAGGAAATCAGGGTGAATCTCATCCACCCCTGGAGCCCTGCCGCTGCAGAGCATTTTTAACTACCTTGGTGACCTCAGACATGGTTATGGACAGACCAACCCCAAAGTCCCCCGACTCAGCTTTGTCCATGGAATACATGCCGAGGGGATTGAGAATGTCTGAGAGGTTTTCCTTCCACCTCCTGATGACATCACTGGTTGAGGTCAATAGCACCCCACATTCATTGAAAAAGTGTTAAAAGTTCTGCTTTCCCCTCCTCAGCTGCCTGATGGTTTGCCAGAATCTCCTCAGAGCTGACCGAGCGGCTTTATCCAAGGCCTCACCAAACTCTTCCCACATTTGAGCTTTTGCCTCAGCAACAGCCAAGGCTGTAGACTTCTTGGCCCTCCAGTACTCCTCAGCTGCCTCCAGAGCCCTACTAGCCAACTAGGCCTGATAGGACTCCTTCTTCAGCTTGACAGCCTCCCTAACCCGAGGTATCTACAACAAAGTTTTAGGATGGCCACCGTGAGAAGCACCAACAACCTTGCTTTCACAGCTCAAGGCAGCTACCTCCACAATTGAGGCACATAACTTGTCCCACTCGGATAACACTGAACTAGAAACAAGTAAAATGGAAAAAACTAACTAACTAATCCACACTCTACAACGATCGGAGAGGACATGGAGGTTCAGATGTAGTTTGCAGTTATTGCTGGGCGGGTCATCCAGTGACGTAGCTTTACTGGCCAATCAACGGTTACTGCCTGTTTACGTCAAAATCCTCATCTCGGACCAGTTTGCTTGGAACCACAAGTAAGACTGTCCCATATACCGGGCTGAGTGGGTATTGCTACCAGCAGTGGGCAGGCCCTTAATTAGTGCAGTGTGGTGTGGAACCGATGGAAGTTGAGAGAGTGGCAAAACACCATTAGAGGTTACGTACCTGGTACTTATCAGGTATGTACTGGTCATGTCAATTCATAATACTGGCTGATCCACGTACATACTTTGAAAGTACCAGGTATGTAGCCTGTATAAGATAACAAATCACTTCATAACACATCCTTATCCCTGTAGGTTCCCTGAAAATATCTGATGTATATCCCATCATTACCAAGCAGTTACGTATTTCATACTTATTTACTTGTACTTACCAGATAGTTCCTGGTCATACAACCTAGTCCCTGTTAGTATCTTGTAAGTATCAGGTATGTAAGGAGCACATGCCCCATAATAGGTATGTAAACCTAGGGTATATGTATGTACTAAGTATCTACACTGTTAGTACTATGCAACAAATCATTTTAACAGAAAGCCAAGGCTCCATAGTCAAACTGTATTTATCAGGAATGTGCCTAATAAGTACCCTGTAAGTACAGGTATGTATAAAACTGTATTGTGTAGTGCTACCTGAAATTAAACACACAGATGCCACTAAAACAGCCTAGGAAGCTGGTGGAAAACCGGGAATCAGGATTCAGACAGGAAGAAAAATTATATTACATGAAACTGGACAAGTTTTAAAGAAGATGTACCCTTCACACACAAGTTAAAAAACAGCAGAATATGTAAAGTTCTCATATTTAACATTACTTAATGTTAAACAGCTTGAAAACATTGAAGGGAAAATGTTTAATGATTTTTTCATAATGCTAATTGCAGTCTTATAGATATTTATTTTTATTAACTGTGATCTAGAAGGTATTGCTGTAATAATGTAATGTAACTTACTGTAATGCTGTTCCTGATCTGCTTCTTTGTAGGTCATCCTCGTTTCTTCAACCAGCTGTTTGCAGGGTTGGAGCCTTATTCCATGGTGGCAAGCTTCATCACTGAAGCAATTAAAACCAGTCTGTGAGTCATACAGCATATTGTTAAAAGGTTCACCGAAAAAAACCAACCTGACTAACTTTGACATGTTTGACATGTTGAACATAGATGTGCTAATGTATTGACATGATGGTTTTCATCAGATACACATATGAGGTGGCTCCGGTCTTCACTCTTATGGAAGATGCTGTGCTGAAAAAGATGATGGAGATGATAGGTTGGGAGGAAGGAGGAGACGGACTCTTTAATCCAGGTACTGTACATACACCACTTGACCTCTTCTATCCTAATCAACAAGATACACAGGGACTTACTATATTTTGGTGTGAATTTTTTCTTCCAGGTGGCTCAATGTCCAACATGTATGCAGTGAATTTAGCCCGATATCGGTTCTGCCCAGATCTCAAAGAGGTTGGACTCTATTCTGCTCCACGCCTCGTCTTGTTAACATCTCAAGAGGTATGACTTTACAGGAAATTGCTAAACTTCAGGATGAAGGCAACAATACTTAAGAACATTCTTGTCATACATATATATATATTTTTGTTTGTTTGTTTGTTTGTTTGTTTTTTATACCACAAATTTAAAGACAATGACCAAAACAACTGATTAGCATAAACTACTGATGTTTTTGGCTGTATGCTTAGTTTATATAGCATCAAGTCACAACAGAAGTTGTCTCAAGGCACTGAACAAAAACATTTGCATACATTAAAAAAGCCAATTAGTAAAAGTTATCTATCTAAGGCAGTTTTAGGCTGCTTTTTATCATAAACTCAAAATTAGTCAGACTATCACATACACTCACTTTATTATTTGGTGAAATTACCTTTAGCAAACTGTACATGTACCAAATGTTTAGTATGCATCAACAAGCTCCTGGCACCTTTCTGACTTTTCCTAAATCATTTGGTAAAGTTCATCTGAACTGGATAGTGCCCTGGCACAGACCTGGCTTATAAGCACAGTTCACAGATTTTTAATTGAGTTGAGGTCAGAGTTTTGGAAAGGCCATTCCAGAAGATTAATATTAGCTGTTTTTGCCAACAAGAGACCAGTTCTGGTTTGTGTTTGGGATCACTGTCATGTTCAAACATCCAATTTATTCAGGTTTCAAACATATAGCTGTTGTTTTGAGGTCCAGTTGAATAATTTTGAGGTCTTCCTTCTTCATTTATTCATCTATTATGCACAATGCAACAGTACTACACCATGATGCTACCATCACCATGCTTGGCAGTTGGCAGAGTTTTCTTAGGTTTGAAGTCTCACATTGAAAGCTTCACCTTGACTTCTCCAGTTTTACAAGACAGTGGTGAGACCAGCTATTTTGTATGGTCCGGAGACAGTGGCATTGACAAAAAGACAGTAGACAGAACTGGAAGTAGCAGAAATGAAGATGTTGAGGTTCTCCTTAGGAGTGACAAGGATGGATAAGATTAGAAATGAGATTATCAGAGGTACAGCACAGGTTGAACAACTGGGAGATAAAGTTAGAGAGGCCAGACTGAGATGGTTTGGACATGTCCAGAGGAGGGACAGTGGTTTGGACATGTCCAAAGGAGGGACAGTGGTTTGGACATGTCCAGAGGAGGGGCAGTGGGTATATTGGTAGAAGGATGTTAGAAATGCAGCTGCCAGGAAAAAAGACAAAGAGGAAGTCCAAAGAGAAGACATATGGATGCAGTTAGTTGGAGTGAGGAGAATGTCTCGCTGTGGTGTCCCCTGATGAGAGAAAAGCTGAAAGAAAAAAGAAAACCTTGACTCCTCAAAACATATTTCTTGTAATTGTGGCCCAATGCCTCGGTCTTTGTCTCATTTGACCATAAGACTTTTCTGCAGAATGCATTTGGCTTGTTCATGTGGGAAGCTGTACATTTTAGCTAAGCTTGAAGGTGGCACGTTACCTAACAAATTTTCTTATATTAGAGGGTGACAAATGAGTTTTAGTCAAGAGTGCTGTCGAACAAACCCCACCAGCAGCAGTCAGTCATGATCACTAGTGAGAAGTCAAATTTTTGCACCCTATTTTTTTCTATATAACCCTTGAACTTTTATATTGTATAATCATTTCACCTTGTGTAATGGTTTAAATCAATTATTAAAAGTCCCAAATTGTTATAAAATTCAAGCTGAGTGTATGAGAAACTTCTGACCACAAATGTAGTCTAAATTTCAAAGTAAAACTCAATAATTATTTTTAAAAAATTTAATAAAAAAAAATAAAAAAACATTCAGTTCAATTCAGTTTATTTATATAGTGCCAAGTCACAACAGAAGTCATTTCAGGGCTCTGAACAGAAACAGTCGCATACGTTAAAACAAGCCAGTTAGTAAAGTTCTCTATTTAAGGAAGGAAGCAGACACGTTGAATCTTCACTCCATCACAGTCTTCCATCCTGAGCAAGCACAAAGGCAACAGTAGAAAGGAAAAACTAACTGTTAACAGGAAGAAACCTCCAGAAGAACCAGGCACAGGACGAGAGGACATCTGCTTTGACCGGCTGGTTGAGAGGACAGGAAGGAGAGACAAACACAGAACGACATGTCCAGATGTACTGTCGATAGGAGGAAAGACAAAAACACTTTTAAGGATAGAAATAATTAAAAATACAATCAGGTAGAGTAGAGTTAAGTAATGACAGCAGAAGAGTAAATTGTGGTCAGTTTGTCCTCCAGCAGTCTAAGCCTATAGCAGGATAACTAAGGGATAGTTCAGGAAACCGACCCTAACTATAGGATTTATCAAAAAGAAGCGTCTTAAGCCTAGTTTTAAAACTGGATAATGTGTCAGCCTCACGGACAGAAACTGGATGCTGGTTCCACAAGAGAGGAGCCTGATAACTGAAAGATCTGCCTCCCATTCTGCTTTTGGAAACTCTAGGTTCAAGTTCAACTTGTGTTTATTTGTCATATGCAAGATTAACATAGGGTTAACAGTACAATGAAATGCTTAGGATGAGAAGAACCAGACTGACTCACTAAAAAAAATTAAAAGAACAAACCAACTAGAAAATACAAAAAAAAGCATGCAATAAGGGTACATTAAAAAAGTACCAAAAAGTGAAAAAGTAATTAATTAAAATATTTACAATGTCCTAAAGAGAGATATTGAGCAACAACATGGTAGAATATAATGGTGCAGCTGGTTTAATTTGAATTAATAAGTATTAATAAGTACTAGTATAGGAACCGCAAGTAAAGGTGCATTCACACCAGCCCTGTTTAGTCCGCTTTAATCGAACTCTAGCTCGTTTTCCTAGAAAGTCTGGTTTGTTTAGGGAGGTGTGAATGTGCCATCGAACTCTGTCACGGAACAAAAAGGTAAACTCTGGCCCGGGCTAAAACCTTGGACTCGGTCTGGTAGAAGAGAACTCCAGCGCGGTTCGAGTACAGTGTGAATGTAAACAGACCGAGCCCCGCTCCGCAGGGTAAACAAACACACATTTCTCTGACCTTATATGGAGCCGTCAGCTGCCTTGTGTGAAAAACAATATTCTCCATGGTCTTCTGTCTCATCTTCTGCTCATGCTAAGTCCATTTTTGAAAAATGACAAAATATAACTCCTAAAACTGCTAAAACTTGATGCCACTTTGTTTTTATTTTTATTTACAAAAGAAGAAGAAGACGTGTCTTCAGAGGTTTTTGTGTCGTTTCTTTCAGTAGTTCTAGGTGCAGCGCCCCCACAGGTGAGCGGGGGAATAGGTTGGTTCAACAGGTTGACTCGACTGCACAGTGCAGTGTGAATGCAAACTCACCAGCTCAAATGTAAACAAAAGGTCATGAATATTGGTCTCGAACTGAACCGAGTCTACCGGACTATCTGGTGTGAAAACGACCTAAACCTGCAGTCTGAGTGAAGTGCTCTGTTAGGAAAATATGGAACAATAAGATCTGTAATATACGATGGAGCTAGGTTGTTGAGAGCTTTGTAGGTTAGAAGTAAGATTTTGAATTCAATTCTGGATTTGACAGGGAGCCAATGGAGAGAAACTAAAACTGGAGAGATATGATCTCTCCCAGTAACTCCAGTTAAGACTCTGGCAGCAGCATTTTGGATCAACTGAAGACGTTTTAAAGAAGTTTGTGGACACCCAGATAATAAACCATTGCAATAGTCCAGTCTAGATGTGATGAATGCACAGACCAGTTTTTCTGCATCATTTTTGCACATGGTGTTTCTAGTCTTAGTGATACTACGCAGGTGGAGGAAAGCTATGAAACAGAATACATTATGTCTGGTACACACTGTCTGTTCTTTTTTTTATAAATACAAATGATGATATGAAAGATAATGCATTTAACTTGTGATATTTACCATTTTTATGATTCATTGCAGACCATCAGCTTTCAGACCAATGATAAGATTTTCAAAAGAATTTATGAAATTGATAAGAAAAAATACCTTTACTGATGTGTCTGCTAAATGCTTGTGTCATCTTTTTCAGAGCCATTACTCCATTTCTAAAGCAGCAGCTTTGCTTGGATTTGGCACAAAGAATGTTTACATGGTGCCATCTGATGACAGGTAAAAGTATTAAACACATCTGTCATGTTTTAACGCTCGTCCCTCCTTAAATTTAAAACATTTGAAATCCTGTTTACAGGTATAAACGTTTGTCCAAAGCTTTCACACTCATGCTATATTCCCTGTTTGTTGGTGACATGTATAATTTAAATATTTTATACAGTATCCTGATGCATGCTCAATAATCCAGGTAGAAAAATCCAAAAAAGTTCAATCTGGTCCTCTGGACATTAAAAAAAAAAAAACAAAAAAACAAAGCAAAAAAATCTAGAAACGTTTCGTCTCTCATCCAAGAGACTTCCTCAGTCTGAGGTGCTGTTTTCAGCTCAGTCTCTTAAA